ACACAGACATTACGTCAAAGCGCTCGATGTCGTCGACCCATTGAAATTCTCCGTACGGTAAGGATTCGGACATCGCCCAACCGTACAAATTATTCACGTTGAAGTACATGAGGTACGTCGAGGGTTCCGAAAGATCGTACGAAGATTATACTTGTTATACTTGTTATTAGCTTATCTATGTGAACACTGACTCAAACCACCGCGTACACCACGTTCCACAAACATCACCATATCAATGTCGGTGAGTAATTCGAATCGAGTACCAGTGTATTTCAACATAGCGTCCCACGTATATCCCGGTAAAGTGTAATAATACGCTGGATCCAATCCGTAACTCTCAATACACGTATCACGAAAACGTCTGCTAATAAAAGCACATCTGTCTTGAGATACAAATCACTGTAATCGCCGAGAGTCTCTATGCAAAAACGTCGCCAAACGTTCGTCGCGTATTGATAATCGTCATCGGAAGCAGTCTCGTCGGTCAACGAACTATAAAACAGTTCACGTGGTGGTAAACTAGTTTCGTTTAGCTTATCAACGCTGTCGATATACTCGTACAGAAACACTCCTTTCCGCGTAAGCAAACAAAGTCCTCGGCGTCAAGATTGGAAAATTCCGATTGTATAATTTTCAATTTACTCTTGTCGAGATATGATACCAATTTCTCGAGACTAGTATTGATAAATTTGAACGAATCCACAAAACGCAATTTCACACAGTCCGTTCCCAGCTTAGAGTTTGCTGTAGCCTTGATATATTTTGTAAACGTTATATATTTTTTTTTCGTTATAGGTAACAAGTCGACTCTACCCACAAAACTATTAGCAATATCCTTTATGATAAAATATGCATCGTAACCTGCCAAGTTATGAAAAAATACAGGAATAACGTACGTATTGTGATACTGTAAATTACAACGTGAATGTGCAGGACCTCTATAACGTCCGGTTAAATGACAGTGATCGCGTACGCGCAAATATCCTTCCTCAAATGGTCTTTCACAGATATGACAGTGAGTCGCGTTTCGAAATTGTTCCCACTCGACGTTTGATGTAAACTCCGTCATAACCATATTCTTATTGAATATCGTTTTCGCGCGATGCGCCAAATCGTATAATTCCTTGACAAACCATGATACGCAATCCTCGCCGCGATAAGATTTGTATATCGACATAGTTTCATCGTATACACAACGTACGTAGTACCCTACGCTGAACACCTTGTGATGTTGATAGGTGAATCTTGACATGTTTTCATCGGTGGTCTTCTTCGCCAGTATACACTTCAAATCAGCATAAACGACAAAGAGAAGTCGCTCCTTCTTATTATGACCACGAAATGATAACCATTTATCGTTCTAGTTCGGAAGAATAATAGCACATTCGTTCGTTGTAGTACAGTCAACGATGTGAAGCGACAATTTCTCGCTCGTAGGAAAATAATGTAGACATCTGTAAAGTAACAAGTCATACGCGTTACACAGCTTTTTTTTAATCGCTATATATACAACTAGTATACCTACCTATCGCACAAACGCTTCTTCTTCGTACTCTTACTCAATTGCGAACCTATCAATCGTGACATATTTTTAATCCATGCGAAATGACCGATGACGTTTTCATCGTTGCGTCTTGAGTCTTGCAGATACAACAGGTTTACATGTTTCTCTTTCCTCTTTTTGGTAAGACGAAGAGGAACGATTACATTACCATCGTCTCTTTTTTTTCCACCTCTCTCTCGCTCGGTAAATATGTTGATGGATATATCGTTAAAAAATTCAAATTTCGTAATTTATTTTAATGTAACGGGAAACTCGATACCCTCAAGCTTCAACACGGTAGTATAATCCGGATACGATGATTTTCAATTTACGTTTCTTTCTGCAAGGTACAGAGCGGCGACCACCGACCAGGCGAAACACGCATTGTCTATCGAACGCACGTTGATCACCGCCTTCTTCAGCATAATTTCTCGCGGTAGCTAGACTCAACATCCCGCATGCATAGGATTATACTTGTTAACATTTACAATCAGATTCAATATACGTGACAGCGCCCATCCACTGTCATGTTTCTGAAATTCCTCCAGTGCTGCTAAAATATCATCCGTCACGTGTTCATCGTACCACTCTCGCAGATCGGATGTGTTAAAAAGCTCGTAATTTTTCGTAGTGATACTCTTAGCAGATCTCTTAGCATCCGCGACGAACTCACCGTTGAATATCGTATTTACTTTTAAACAATTATATCTCTGAAGATTATCGCAAATCCGATCGATAACGATATCTCTCGTGTCGTCGAGAAACTATCGAGGTTCGATGTAACTTGAATTCAACACCACACCAGTTAATACGCGATTATTAAAAACTGTTTCGATCTCCAACCATGAAAATCCACTCTTTTGTGATTCGACACGACCAGAGCCCACATGTTCAAAACGTTGTTGTAAAACATTTCTCAAACCTTCCAATCGTGCTAGT